CAGGACCTGGCTAAGCTTCAGAAAGCAAATTAGGATCGAGGACCCAGGTGTCCACATGGCGCCAAGACTTACATGGCTACTCGTCGTTCTCCATTGATACAATCTGACAGCTCAGCTTATCTAGGCATACGGCACCACAGCTTCGATCAATGTACAACCACCGCAGGGCTAAATCGCCACCAGCTGGGCCCTCGTGTCGGCTCAGGACGCACAGCTCTGGCGGTTGGGCAGATGGCTGGCCTGCCTTACCGGCGACAGAGTTGGTCAGGCGCATGTGCTAACAGGCGGCAGCATTTTGGTGTTTACTTACCCCTCGGCTCCCTCGCGCCAGGATGGGTTGAACGCTTCCAGCCTGTCATCGCGACTCTTCCAAAATTGCGAGCAGTTTGTTGATCTTCTGGTCTTGACATTGACAGCAGTCCAACCTTCCTGAGTTAGTTTAGGTCAAGACTACATCTCCAGGCGCGACCAAAGCCAAAGTCATGTGGTGCTGGGCAACGCGGTGGCACAAGCATCCATGCCTTGCAAATGTGATAGAGGGCGGATCTCACGAATTCCAGGATGGGGCGCTCGAGGAAGCAGATGGCAGCAAGCTGCAGCCGGCTGTTCGGGTTTCCATCTACGGAAGGCATGTGGCGAAGACCCGCGTGCATATGGCATGTGTCGAGCAGAGCTGCAGGCTGCAAGCCAGGGCAATGGCTGTTGGTCAAATCCTTGCAGCAGCCGATAGGGAGGCAGTGCTGACATTGCAGCGTCGGTTGACCGTAATCTTCTGGAATCTCAAAGCTTGCGACACGGGCAGGCCGCGGGACTCATGGCCGCACAGGTTGATGCTTTGCGACGAAACTATAGCGACTTGCTGATTCAATCCGAGGGTGGCCCAGGACAGATCATGACTGTACCTGTCTTTGCTACTGTTGTGTGCGCCCGCTGCAGCAGGCAGGAGTAAAGAGTTTGCCCAGGAGCGGATGGCCTGCAGGAGTTCGATTTGGGATGCGATGCTTTGGTGATGAAACGCTTCCTGCAGAAACTTTGCAATGATTGAAGCATATTGCAAGCTGCCATACGCTGCCGATTGCACTTGCCAGCTAGCGTTAGGACCCTAGGCCGTACGATTCAAAAGCGAGCAAGCGCAACGAGACGCTGGAGAGCGCACGGCCCCAAGAAATGCGAACTGAACGCTTCTGCACTCGCATTGCCGTGTTAAGCATTCGACTGCTGGAAGGTTCTATTAGCGAGTGGCTGCAAAGACTTGCATATTTATCGTCGACCAGTTGCCGATGAGTTCCGCTTCTGCTGCTTAGCCACAGCCTGAGTTGCCCAAGCAACATCGTGACCTTTCATCTCCGCACCCTGGAATGCGGATTTATCTAAAGCAAGGTTCTGGGGCACAGAAGCCAGCGGTGGCTTGCTGCAGAGATCTTGAGGCTCTGTATGGCTCTTGCTTGCCTCGGATTGACACCAGCATCCGATTTGTGAGGACCGTCCTGCACAGCCTTGATGCAAGATCCTCTTCTGCATTGCATTCGAAGCTGCGCAGCGACTGCACATTGGTGAAGGTTCCCCATCAGGCACGGAAGTACAGTTGTGGTGGTTTTGTGGTGCGGCTGGCATGCTACCGTTTTGATTTGCGCAATGCGCTCCAGGCGGTTGGTCAAATCTTTGGGAAACAACGGAAAAATCTACTAAAGCTGCCCGCTGTCGGCAAAAGGTGCCAGGTTCAGCTTTCTGTTGGCCATGTTTTTACTGCCACCTATTTAAAACCCGTTCATTTTAAGGATGAGCGACACCCAGACCGTGATCGTTAAAGTCAAGGAGGTCAAGAGCATCTCGCCCCTCAGTTCGGTTTTTTCTGCCACCACTCCGTTTGAGCTCCAGCCTAGGTGCTGAAGCGGAGAAGCGTGATGCAGAAGAAATTACGAGTTTTATGACGAACATGTACCAGGCACCGGTACGGCAGACAGTGACCAGTGAGACCAGTGCGGAGCTTTGGCGAGCCATGCGGGAGCGCAAGGTAAGACCAGTGCCAATTGGACCACTTGCCACGTAAGATCATTCAAATTTTGCAGTGATCGATAACAAAAACCTGAACCGGTGGTTGTGGGTTCTTGATGTTGTTGATGTTGTTGTGAAGATGGAAAGGGACAAGCGTACTATTTGTGTTATGCATGGCGTGCTGCCCCCACTCGGGTGGTATTTAGTCAGCATCTTCTATCTCTACGAGCCACCTGCGATCGAGTAGCAGAGACAGGCAGAAGACGGGAGCGAGTTTGCCGTGTTTGGCAAGCCCCTGGCCCAGAAAAGGGCTCTTGCCAGCATCTTCGCGACTGTCGAAAGAGCCTCGACCTATTGGTGTTCCTCTGCATTTTGCTAGCTCCAGCTCAAACGTCTGAGGACTGGTGCCAGGTTACGTCTTGCCAATAAGCCCTCAGGACATCAGCAATGCGAAGGCAGCAGTCTCCAAATCAGTAGATGCAATGCGAGACCTTGTAAGGAGAAAATCGACGAGCTTCAATACGGTCTGGACAAGCTTCGTTTGCCCTTCGAGTTTCAGGAACAACGGAAGTGCACACTTGTTCTGTGCTGCCCGACGAACACTGGCGAGTCTCAGGAGAATGCCAGCAATGTGAAGGCAGAGCCCTGGCGTTTTTGACGTCCTGGGTCCTGAGTGCTACAGATGGTTGGGTAATGTCCAGATGCGACGAATGCGTAACACACCCAAGGAGATCTTGTCCTGTGCGACTGATTGCCATGCAGCTTGCGTCGCGGATCTGCAATCTTGCAGCAGTAAGCACAGATTGCTTGCTCGTGGGCTGCTAGATGCTGCTGGCATTCGCGCGTGAAAGATCTGAACACAGGACATTTGTATTGTCTGGGCTAGGATGAGTCGATTCTCTTGAGGTTGCTACTTGCCGGTGATCAGCACCAGAGGCAGAGAGCGCGAGAGTACGCCTACTTCCTCCGTGGCAAACACGAAGGCGCCTGAATCTTTCTTAACCCAACTCAGTACTCGGTGAGCGCACAAGCTTGCATCAAAGGCCAGTTCCCGAATGTTCCGGGCCTCGGGACTCGGTCCGATGCTTGCAGCTTATGGGTAGACGAGCGTGCTTCGAAGTCGCGATGGTTCTTGGATGAGCTGAAGAAGCTAATGCTGGAAACAAAGACGTGTGCTTTTTTCGATGATGGCCATGATGAAGGGAGGAAACTTCGAAGGTTGGTCTTTGCAGGATTCGGTGTGACACCGGACAGCATCCCAGACATTTGCGAGCTTGCGCAATCTCTGGTGCAAAAGGCCATCGACTGGATCGATCAGAGGCCGGAAGTCTCATGTTGAGGGCGAGCCGCGTTTCACTCGTCACTGAGACACCTGCGCGCTGACTGACTGACTGATTGACTGACTGTCGCAGGTGCAGGAAGCAAGAGACGAAGGCATCAAAGTCTTGGACGAACTGGAAAGATGCGAAAACATGGAACAGCTGGGAGCAGACCTCGAAAAGCTGGGAGCAGAACTCCCGGTGGAATTCAGAGAACTCAAAGCGGGAGGCTTCCGCAGATTGGTCACATGAAATCTCTGACGTCTCGCAGATCGAAGTCTCCACGGGGATGCCATGCATGCCGCCAATGACTCCCGCCTTGCCGAAGCCGTCGGGGCCGTCGCCGTCGATGGATGCGATGCCCACCACTGCAAGCTTTGGACCTCACGGCGGAGCTGCTCCCAGAACACCAGCCTTTCACGGACTGGACGCAGATGCACGAAGCCCTTGCGCTTTCGGGCCCCATGGCGCGATGGCTCCGAAAACCCCCGCTATAAGCAACAGTCCGAATCGGATTCCACCACCAGCAACGCCAGCTGTGTTTGGAACGAGGCTTCCTGCAGACGTTCCTGAGCCAGCTACGCCTGCACCTCTGAGAGTGCCTGCCCAGACTGTGCCCGGCCCACTGACACCTGCACCACCTCCTGCAACTCCAGCTACGTCAACACACAGCACAGCTCCTGCTGCTGGCATGGCTGGCACTGACCGAAGGCACACGGTCCCAGACCCTGCGACTCCGACAGTGTGGAGGGTTCCTCCATCGCACACGGCTGGGTACCTACAAGAGCCTCCACCTCCCCAGACACCAGCTGTAGCTCCAGCACGAGCTCCTCCGCAGACTCCCGCCGCCATCGCATCGATGCACCTAGCCTCAAGAACAGAAGTCAGCGAAACGTCACCGGAAATAGTTTTGGAAGGCTCTTTAAACAACACCATTGTCGCAGATGCAATCTCCACTTCTACGACATTGGCAATAGTTCGAGCCGGCCCATACGCGAACAGTCAAGCTGTAAAGGTCGAGCCAGCACCAAGAGCATCGTAGTGACGAAACTGTACGGAACCATTAGAGACCGGTCCCCTGACTGGAAACACCTACCCCTACCCGAGAGCATAGGCTTTTTGACCTTTAAGGCTTTAGGATTTTTAGGGGATCTCCAGGCGACCTTAGCCAACAATCGGGTAGGACATGTCACCGGCAAGCGTGTGCAAGCGGCCCAAGCATCCATCCAACTGGTGTTTGCCATAGTGCCATAGTGCACAACGGAGTTTTCCCTAATGACAAGGCAACGTGGCGAGAGCACGGATGAATGCTTACCGCCTGGCTGGCAGAGGTGCTTCGGCATGTTAATCCGAACATGCATGTGGAAAGCGTGCCGGAAGAGTGCAAGCGAAGGCGGGTTGACCAGCCTTGGGACAAGCTAAGGTGCTTCTCAAGAACGCACAAGAAACCATACTACTTCAACGCCAAGCTGAACAAGTCACAGTATGTGCGGCCATCTTGAGAAAAGCATCCATTGCTTGCAGATTACTGGACCATGCTATATTGAAACGTCTTGCAACAGTCACTGGCGGCCTCAGGCACCTCTGACATGTAGTGCGCGCACTGCAGGCAGATGTGAGAAAATGGCTCCCGGAGCTGGCCTGTTGAGCACCACTTGTTGTGTGCGCAAATGCGGAGCCAAAGAGGTCGTGTCAGACGCCTGCCTTCGAGCTCGTTGTCCTTAGACGTCAGCCAGTCAGTTTACGCATGTTACAAGTAGAATGTGTGAGGATAAGTCCACCCGAGACCGGCATCCTTGCTTCACTTCACCGCAGGGATATCGGATGCTTCTTCCGAGTGCGCATTGGGAGCTCTTTCTGCGGTGCTTCTGGTGAGAAGCTCGTCACTCTTGCGTCGGAATTGTCAGCAAGCTGTGATGACGTGTGATGACATGAATTTTTGCATGCGGAGGTTCTCTTGTGCGTGGCACCAAGTCTTCGCAACTCATGAGTGTCAGCTTCAGCAGCACTCGCCGAAATTCCTGTTCTACAAAGTGCCGTGGGCTTCCAGGAAAGGAAGTAGCTGCCCTTGGATGGCGCGTGGCTCGAAGTCGCCGGGCAAACGTGACCGGACCAGCCTGCGCAAATATCTCGTGTTAAAAGTGCACGAACTACGGTACAGGCCCCCCACGAATCGTTTATCCCCTGCACACCGTGTGCTCACAGGAGTGAAAGACGAGCATGCAAAAGGAGTGTGCGCTGTTTGTAGCATTTTCATGCTAAGCAGAATTTGTTGCACTCCATTCAGACTTTTTCGAGTCTTCGCACTGAGTTTATGAACATTGTGTTCCACTCATCCACTCGATCTGCTGGTGCCGTTTGTGCTGTATTCACATGTTCCCCATGTATTCTGCATTGTTATCACATTCTAATCACACTTTGCGCCTTGGTGCGCTGATCTCGCCAACCGTCTAAGTTTGCCTACCCTTTATCCGGATATTCTGCACAAGCACATGTAAATCGTTTCGGGGCTGGCAAACACAACAGAACAATCCTGACATCTTCTTTGAACTTCTTGCACATTCCGGCGATTCTTACTAGCATCGCCACTTGCACGATGACGTTCTTTTCGAGACAACTTTCACCTCGTGCCCATGGCTGCAGTGAAGCTTCAACAGCTGCGGAACAAGTTCCGGAAAGGCGTTCTTTGGAATGCAGTCCTTGATGTCTCGGGGCAGCTTCAGCATGGTGAGATAGGGAAGAAGATACATGAGTAGATCAGCCACTTTCACGTCAGCTTGGGAGCATGTCGGCAAGTCACTGGGAACGAAGAACGGATTTCGCGATTCGTCCAGACGAAAGCAAGAGTGCGAGGAGGCCTTTGCAGAAGAAGTTGCTCGAAGATGGAAGCCAAGGTTGAAGGCAGCTTAGCTCTTGAATCCTTTCGCATAGCGCCAGTTTTTTCCGGCCGGCGACAACTAGCGTCTCTGGCATCGCGACATCAAGCGCGGGTACAGTCTATCAGAGTCCGCTGAGCGGTCCATACAGCCCGCCTGAAGTGACCCCGGGGCAGACGCTTGAAAAACGGAGGGCACTGGAGGAAAAGCTTCAGATACTGCTTTCTGGAGCAGATCATGATGCCGCAAATTATGCAAGGCACTGCCGGCTGCTCTAGCCGACATGAGTTAGTGCCCCGATCGTTTTTTGCAAATTGCACAGCCTTTCTGGAGAAGCTGCTCGACCAAGAAGGTCAGCGTTTGATGATGTATGGCGTGTGGCTTAGCCTTTGGCATGTCGAGCCAGCCAAGCCAGCCAGCATCTCGCAAGGAGGGCCTTCCTGGGCCGCTCTCTGCCCTTGTACGCCGCATAGAGCACAGCAGAGCACAGCCTGGCGCCTGGAGCTGCGATAAGAGATGCCGTCTCATGCTACAGGTATCTTCTCGGCACGTCGGCATGGCCGGTTGCTTCACTTCTGGCCTGATGCCAAGGGCTCTGGAAATTGCAGAGTCCCAGCTGCCCAGCCATCTGATCAGGCCAAGTGGCAATCCACTTGTGGGGGCCAGTTCCTGCAGCAACGACCCACGCAGCTTCACCAAAAAAACATCACTTTTGTCAATCACAAGTCTGGACCCACTCAAGCTGGGTCAAACGTCAGCACCTCAGAGTCGAGGACATGCTTCCATGGAACGACAGAAACAACTCAGCAAGGAGCCCAACTCAACGGCATTGGCACTTTGCGCACAGCCAGCACCCAGGTGATAAAAATTCTATGGACTCCTGCAAACGAGATCTAACAAGCGAGGCCGGAAGTGCTGGAGTTCTTGATGCATGTCGAAGCGGCTACGCAGGAGCAGCCAGCCTCTCAGCGTATCTGAGTACCTGTGCTCAGCTCTAGCTGCATCCTGCACTCAGTTTGATGCCGCTCCTTTGGCGGCCAAAGGAAAAGGCTGGGGCAGCAGAAGTCCTGCAGGAAGCCCACGAGCGTTTCTGCGCTTGACGAGTGTGCTGTGAAATTTGCTACCGGACCGAGGCTCGGGCTCTTTGTCTCCAGCACCCTGCGTCCGGGGCCAACACGCCGAGCCGTGGCAACCTCCTTCCTGAATTGGGAGCCAGAGGTCCGCTGACGGCGTTCATGAACAGATGCTCGACTTGAATTGCGCACCAGTTCGCACCGCTCGTGCCACTTGCGAAACTCAGAGATAGCAAGGTGCACCTCGAGCAGACCCAGATTTCTGGACGGCCTGCGCCGCAGCTTGTGCTGCAGAGGGTGCTGCCCTTCTTTTGCCCAAGCCTGAGTGGCAGTATGACAGCAGAAGTTAGACAACACACAATCAGTGCATACCAGAGCAGCATGTTAGCGCCAAGGATCCGATTGCTTGGCACGCCAGTGCCACGTGACCCACTTGACCGTTCGGGACCAAGACTGTCAAATTATCACTCCCATCGAAACTCAATGTCACGTTGCTGCCGTTGCAGGGCCTCGGCTAAGTGAGCGTGCCCCTTGAGAGCGTTTTGAATGAATTCGAAAAACCAGGCGGTACCACACGCTTCCCAGGCTTGCCAAGTTGGTCGCCCACATGCCCTTTGCCACCATAACGGAGACCTCGGCTGCCAGAGTCTGACCGAAAGCCCTTCACCGACTGTTTTTGTTTGATGGTCCTTGTTTGCTCAAGGTATTTTCTGCTGCAATCGCTGCATCGCACTACGTCGCGTGGCGCTCGTGCATACCTCAGACGCTGTAGACATAAGAGGATCCCAAAAGCGACAACGTGGTAGGCATGACCTGTTTCTGGACGTCAAACGTCACGAGGCCTCGGCCTTGGTGTTGAATCGGCTTGGCATCGCCAAACTGTGTAGTCACAGGGAGCGGTGCTGTGCTCCTTCAGCTAAGCATGCCAAAACTTAAGAAGGGGCGGCTTGCATCAGGTTCGCCGAGTGCTGGGAAAGGCAGCGGAGCAAGAAAGACCCTAAGCGACTGTCTTCCTCCAGTTGTCCCTGTGCAGACTGTCTCCACATGAGGTGCAAGAGTCCTTTCAGCAATGCAACTCCGGCTGCGGATTGCTGCAGAGTTTTCATGAGGCTTGGTCGATTTTTAGATTCAGAAGAAGCTGTTCGCCAAACCGTGGGCAGGGCGTGCACCAAAATCGTCTTCGTTTTTGGGAGGCACGAGTTGGCGCGTTGGGCTGGCAACTCTTGGGCTACCTATTTGGAGGCTGTGGCTGAAGCAGATCTTCCTCCGCAGCAGTCCCAAGGGGCGTGGACTGGAGAACGATCGAGCACCGAAGCATACAGCGGCAACATCTTGAATCTTGCTTGTATCTGCTTGTAGCTGCGGCTTGTTGTGTAAGGTTGTGGAGGCAGGTTTGCCGCGTGGGTCCAAGAAATGATGAGTGTCTCTGTGCATGCTGGGGCTGGGCAGCCGGGGCGGCAAAGGCTGGCTCATTTCCAGACCAACGACACGCACGGAAGGCTGCCGCCTACATACCCCAGTGTAGCGCAGGGAAGGCCTTGGCACGTGCCGCCCCTGACATGAGATGGGTTGGAAAGTCGGTTGTTGGTTTTGGTGGGGGCGGTTGTCGAAGATGGCAAATGTTGGCGGCGGTGCCCTGAAAAACGATAGGGGGTGTCCAAAAGACGATACCCCCCAATGCAGCGATGTGGCCGTTGCAACTGTAACCTTAGCTCCTTGTTTCGTTCAAGAGCGGGCTTCGGGAGTTTGGGGTTTAGTAATTAAGGTTGTAACGGCAGAGTCTGGGTTCAAAGGGTGTCCAGGTTTTCGGGATGGAAATTTCAGCATTTCTGAATTCTCGAAACCCTAGAAGCTTCAACCCCAATCTCAAAAAGCCATGGATGTTCTCCGAAGCAAGTTCTTGATGACTGTCCGATGCTGCCGGCCACATTGAAATTGAAAGCAATGAAAGCGCAAAACCCACATGCACCTCAAACTCGAGGCCCAAGCCTGACCTTGTGTTTTCCGGCTCGGAAGGGAGATCTGCAAAGAGGGAAAAAAACCCTGGACCCAAAGGATTAGAGTCTAAGCCACAGCCCCCTTAAAAGCAGGTAACGCTTCGCTCCGGCAAAAGTGACTAGGGCGCCTCGCGCAGTTCCAAAAAACTGCGCTGGCGAACGCTCAGGCTTGCGCCTTAAACCCTAAACCCTAAAAAAGGAAGGTTTAGGGTTTTTTAGCGTTTAAGGAATATTAATCAATAGCCAAGCGGAGTCAGCCCAGCCCAGCCCAGCCCAGCCCAGCCCAGCCCAGCCCAGCCCAGCCCCAATGCAGCTTTTTGCTCGCACGCTTCAAGCTGCCAACAGCGCAAAACGATAGGGAACGCCCTAATGCAAGGAAATAGTTGGCAGAAATAAACAATTTTGACGCTTGCTCACTTCATTCCCTGTCTGTGTCGACGACAGCCCAGCGCCGCCTCATCCCAACAGGTCCCCCTTAACACTAGATGCTAGATATTAGGTATTGCCTTAGAGAGTAGAGACCAAGGTTTGTGTTTTGAGAACAGACCTATGTGTGAGGGAACCACAAGAGATATGCTCCGAATGGGAAAAGCTTCATGATCGTCCTCATAGTCATGCAGCACCTGAGCCATCAGACTACGCAAGGTCAGATGTGAAACGTTCCGCTGACCGTACTGATGAGTGATCTGGCAAAGCTGCTGAGGTTGATCCAGATGCACCGGCGAGTGAACCGATCAGCAAACAAGCAAGACTGTCATTGGTTGTGTCGCAGATGCGTGCATTGAGTGGAATTGATTGAAACTTCTGTGTTGAAGGCGAATGCCGAAGCAGGAGGAATGGAACAGGGGGCAAGGATTGCCAGAGCCACGACAACTGTCACAGAGTGAGTTCCCCTCCAGAGGCAAAACCAGCATGAATGATGACGGAAATCAAGCCTGGCCCATAAGTCTTTCGGTGGTGATCAGAAAGTGCTGCAGAAGGATTGCACACAGGAGCAAGGACTCGGCTGTTGTTGGGTCGATGGGTGAGGGGAATAATGATGCCACATCGAAGTGTCGCTTTGTTATTGATCGATGCTTACAAGGCATTGCACCAATGTACGACCGCATTATCTTCGTGTCGGGATCTAGCTTGTAATGTCATCGGCACATACCTGGAGTGACGCTTGCAAGCATTCCAGTGGCATTGCACACGCCATGATGGGAGAACGTTTGTTGGAAGTTTAAGAAACAGTGTGCGGCATGCACGCCATGGTTGTGGCAAGATCAGCTCGCTGAAAGCATGCCTGACTACAAACTCACGGGGTATGTCACCGACCCGCATCTTTACGTTCACGAATCACTGCGATTGTAGGCTCCGATGTTGCATAGACATGATGAAATGAGCTCCAAGTCCATGAACACGGAAATGTCATAGCAAGTGCTGTTTATGACGACGTCGCCTGATACGCATTAGCATTTCGCTTGACATCTGCATGTCCAGTACATACTGAACTGATGCGGTTCTGTTTTTGTTTGGAATGGAGAAGAGCCAGACGGTGAACACCACGGTTTGGTCGACAGTTGCAACAATGATGAGCCTCAGCAATGAGGCACATGCACTGTATCGGTTTCACTGGTTGCGCTCCATAATTTTCCTTCCATTCGTGCTTACATGAAAACGGTATGCACATGCAAGCCATCACAAGCATGTTCCGGACGCGGCCGGCCTGCTTCTCACTTCTGATGGTTTCATGCGCAGGTTCCTTGCACAGTACACCAAAGTCGCCGCCTGAGAATCCTTAGGGTAAAGCGTGCAGGAGCTGAGTTTGTCCAGCGATGGAGCTTTCCGCGTCAATTTGACTAGCATGCTCAGCGAAGTTGAACCGCAATCCAACAAACAAGCCGAAGCGAATATGTGTTTTTCTGGCGCGAGCAGCACAAGTAGTACGATAGCTGCCTGGCCTAATTGAGATCAAATCAGGACGAACTACCATGACCACGTTGCGAGTGGAGTGAACTCATCTCGAACAGCAGAGATTGGGCTTAGTTACTGTTGTTTCCACATGGCATCAACACCGAAATGTGCCGCTAGTTAGCCCGGCTCACATGCCAAGCATCCATTTTGGGAAGTTGATTTCAAGCAACGCCAGGAACTCCGCATATAAGCTCGTGGAACAACCGGGGCCCTGAGGAACACCACAGCACATAAGACCTGCCTCAAGCACCTGCCGCGATCTGCAAGCAATCGCCCACCAAAGCCAAGTTTGAGGTGTGCAGCAGGTCTGAGGTAATAGTGCGAAGTTTCATGTAGTTGTGCATGATGCCACGAGCACGACCATCAAAGAGCATGTTGGGGAGTTGCACCTCACTTGGCTATGTAAACTTGCCGACCTCGGCATTGAATTGCGCAGGTATGGTGCTTCAGCAGTGCCCGTGTACTTTGCCATCGCGTATGGGTCCATGGATGAGCGCTGGGTTTGGCACTTCTTAAACAGAGCCTTGGACTTGAGGCAAGGCTTGCAAATACACGTTTCGCGTTGTCAAGTCAAACCTGGTCAGGCTTCCGCGGGTTGTGTTCGCCACGCCTGCTGCCCAGCCGCTGGCCCCAGCAGAACAGAGCCGCGCAGTCGTGGAAGTTAAGTGATGGTAGCCAGCTGCTCGATGCTGTGCTGAGATGGATGCTGTTGTGCGAAGATGTGCGACAGACGCGCCACAGATTGTCCGAGTTGCTGTGTTCGCATCCTAGCCTCCAACTGAGATTCGACCCAGCTGACTGATGAAAAACCGAATTCCCAGGTTTGCACATCTCAAGCACATCTGCCAGACCACTTGATGTTCACGACAAGGCGCGCTCAAGGCATCATCCGAAAAGCCGATGGCTTCTGTGAGCCCTTTTCAAGGCAAAATTTTGCCTTTTGCCGGTGTTCTTGTCCCTTGGATCCGGCCTGATTATGTCCGGGCGGAGTGTGAGCCGAGCCCAATGGGGTCCAGCGTTCAAGGCTTGGACGTGATCTCCCTGGATCTGGATGTTTTTCTTTTCAAGGACCGCTGCGAAAGTGGCCGGGCCGCGGGCCGCATGCTTTTCTTGTGCGCAAGGATCCCACAGGGCGACTTCTGGAAACCGTCTACAGCACATCGCCTGTGGATGTGGCAGCGGCGCCCCTAGCACCTCAGCACAGAGAAACCTGTGCTGTTTGGTGGGCTAAGGTTACCGACCATTTTGATGGTACCTGCCTTGACGCCGGAGTCCTTTTCGCGACGCTGACAGCTTTGACTGTTTCGGCTCTCTCCCTCTCCCTCTCTTCTCCTTCCTCTCCTGTGTCTTGAATTTTAGTCGGAGCCTTCACGACTCAACCACACATGCGGAGGGGCTGAGATTGACTGGAGAGCAGCCAGTTTTTTTCTGTGAGCATTCTGTGAGGTTTCCTGCAAGAGAGGCTGTGTGATCAAGGAAGTCCTGTGAGGTTGTCGGCGAGGTTCGCTGTGAGGTCCACTGCGGGGTGGCTGTGATGTTTTTTTGTGAGGCTTTGGGTGTTGTGAGGTTTCCTGTGAGCCGCTCCCCTCCCTTCACCGCAGCCTTGGCTGCCGGCCCCTGCACCGGCCGGCCTGTGAGGTTTCCTGTGAGGTCCCGTTCCTGCAGCCCTGGCCGGGCAGGGGCTGTGAAGGCCAGGGCTGCGGTGAAGGAGGCGAGCGGGACGTCACAAGAAACTTCACAGGAAGCCTCACAGCTGTGGGCTGATTCCAGGGCAACATAAACTCACAAGGCTGAGATGGCTGCCCAGGCTTCTGGTTCATGCCCCCGTTGGGTAGTTGCGCCAGGTCCGGGCAAGCGACCAGGCATTGCTGTGGGTCCTGTGCCTTGTTTGCGCTTCTATTTCCTCGACTGTCAGAATGCTCATCATCGTCGTGCGAGTTTGTTTCTTGACAGTCCAGGAGCCTGATAGAGTGGCTCCATTCGTATCCATACGGCCCGCTTCTGAGAAATTCGGTGGAGATTGCATCCAAGGGGCTTTCAGTCCACGTGGGCAGGTCACTTTCAGAACGGCCTGAGCCTGAGTCCAGCTGAGGATACTGTAGCCAGGCTGAAATTAGGGGAATATGGAAGCCGAGCCGTGTTCTCCAATAACAGAAACCAAGTGACCAGGTTCGCGAGTCCATGAGCGTTCGAATATCGACTTGGCAGACCGTTCTCTCACATGTCGCGAGTTCCTGGGAAGACAGCAGCCCTCACATCACCAGAATGCTGACAATCTGCAGGGTACTGCAGGGACACCGCCGAATCTTAAAAGAAAGATCGTCCTAATACCCCTCTGCCGCCACCGCCTAAGCGCCCAGCGCACAGAGACACCTAACCAAGCCCGAAAAGCAAAGAAGAGGCGAAAAGAGCGCACACCTCAAGTCTAACGGCAATTAGGTTCTGAGTTCTGTGCAAGCGATTTCAACTCAGCCTCTGCATCTTGCCTAACTGCAAGTTCATGCATCTTTGCGCCACAGGCTGCGGCAAGCAACACGGCGCTATGACAAGAAACAGTCGCGACCAAGACTTAGTTATGAACAGATCAGACCGGAGCGACAACCGACGGATAGCATCTGCTGGATGGGACGAGGCAGTTTGGATGGAGGGGGGCTTGCTGGCGGGTGCTTGGATAGAGGCAGGTGGTTGGATGAAGTGAGGCTGGATGGAGAATGGTCGGGAAGGGTGCTTGGATCGAGGGAGATGTTGGGATGGCGGGGTCGGGTGCACGGTGAAGGGATAGGAGGAGATGTTTGGACGAAGGGTGGCTGGATAAAGGATGTTTGGATGGAGGAAATGGTTGGAAGGGAAGGGGGCTGGAGGGGCCACCGACATCAAGAACAGTTGATTCACGGAGTTGGGCTAATCCACTGAAATCTCCGCCTGCTCTCGGTTCTCGGTCGTTTGCCCTTCATTTTTCCTGCCCTTTGCAAGCTTTCCTTTCTTCCCAGCGTCCCAGCTGCACTTGGGCTAACCATAATAGAACCGGTGGCCTGGCTGGCCGCACACATAGCACTGGCTGCTCCTTTTCCCATTGGGACCTCTGAATTTCCACGCCGCCTACCCGGAACTATCCCCTCGCCGCTCTTGGTTTCGCCACCGCCTGCCGAGCCTGTTGTAGCACTCCGCTGGCCTCTTGGGCGATAGCGTAGGCCTCCACAAGGTCCACTTCCTCGGGCGACGTCTGGCCCCGCTGTATGTGCAGGCTCGTCGCAGACTGTAGGTCGGGTCGTCGAGTCGCACTGGTCACGGTGCTCACCATAGCGGGCTGGCGCCGCGTCTTTGTAGTAGGCCATGCCAGCACGCAGTAGGCGCCGACGTCGTTCCAAGATGTTCCAAAAGATTTCCCACGTCTGTTGTGAATAGTAAGCCTCGTAATTCGCCTCGCCCCGCGAGGTTCCAGTCACTCTCCGGTGGCTGGCTTCGGCCATGCCCTCATCAGACAGGCTCCTCAGAGCCTGCAGGCGGCCTGCAGGCGGCCTGCCGCACGGCTTGGAAGCATGTAGCCATGCAGCACCTGCTGCGGCTCCTGGTGCCCAAGGTGGCACGCCTTCAGCAGCCGTAGCCTCTCAACTCTCAACATCTCTCACCTCATCTTCAAAGCAACCCGACAAAGACGTGGGGCGCCGATGGTGTACCCGAAAGCGCCGCTGCCTTTTACTTTGGGATACTTTTGGGACCTTCCGCGGAGAGCCTCCGGTGGCACTTGCCTCAGGCTCGAGCTGGCCTCCTTCTCGTCCTCAACCTTAGCTTGCGGGCCCGTCCCAGAGAAGCTTGAATTTCCGTGAAGAGCTCCTTCTCGCGAACGAAAAGTTGTGGCATGTTCCCCTGGGATCCGGCAACTTCTTGACACCAGCAGGTGACGCCTGCGGAGTCCTGCAGGCCAGGTGGCGTATGCTCCTTTCAGGAAGGCCGCCCACTGCCGGGCCCCGTACCTACATGAACTCTATCTGGAGTTTTGGTGGGCACCAAGTAACACACCGCCATGCTGGAGAAAATCCTTTTGCCTATCATCACCGCAACGACACCAAGATCCCTGTTGCGGACTCTGGCGATGAGACGGAGGAGACCCGAGCTAGAAGAGGATGTGGATGGCCCACTGGCTACATGTATGACATCGAGATGGAGAGCACGGATTGGAAGACCCTCACTTCGAGACCCCGCAAGGCGCAGGCCTGAATGAGCAAGCGGCTGCAAGAAAAGAGCAAAGGAGCTTGGCGAAGGAGATCAGCAATGTGATCAAGGCGATGGCACTCCGTTCCCTTACCGAGTCCGAACTGAAGAACGTCTCCTGCGACAGAATGGGTGTTAACAATAAAGTCCTCGGAAGCGGCTAAAACCAGACTGGTGATCTTGGGTTGCCAGTCGCCAATTGTGCTGTCTACTCAGAGCTCCTCCCCTTGCTGACTGCTTTCGAATTCTACATGGCGTAATACGGGAGCCCACACACGTCTCGAACTCAGCGACTTTCGATACAACGAAGTGCTACGAGCGTTGGATCAGATTTCAAGCCTGGCAGGAAACGTTTGGTAAGGATGCATCGGTGAGCAGCCACGACTCATCGTCAATCTGAATACGGCGGCCATTAGGCGAATATCGGCGGCTTCAGTGTTCAACCATCGGGTGGGCATTTATGTTCGCAGATGTTTCGCCAAGCTGCAGGGGCCGACCTTTTGACAACAAGGGTTTCACTCATTGTCAGTGGCGATGTAGCGAGGAACAACTTCATTTTACATGTTTGTAAGGCTGCTTTCCGAAAGCTGTTGTGCATGTCAGCGCCATGTCCCTTCCTGCTTTCCTTCATCCATTCGCTCATCGACAAGGCTTGCTTCATAACGCTTTCTGCTGCTTTTTCACTTCAACCGAAAACCACGACTTTGCAATAGTCAAGCATATCTTGCTGTCTAGCGGATGGCAGTTCAATATCAAAGCTCCAGCTTTAGGTTCTGCAGCTGTGCGTGCCCGCGCATGCCGGGCTGTAGGACATGGACCAATTTGCATTGGCCAACACATGCCATGCCACGATCATGTTATTGAGGTTTGGATGCCTTCCTTGGCCATTCCATTTTGGAGCCACAGTTGCCGGACAGCGCCATGCAGACAGCTGCCAGTGTGACTTGCTTGGTATCGGATCGGGAATCAGGCAGCATTTTACTCTTGCTGCAGCTTCAGGTATCCTACATTGTGCTGGGAACTGATGTGGAGTACGCTTCTTTGGCAGGCTGGAACGGTGTCGGTGAGTCAGGAGTTGGCCGTGATTCACATCTGCAGGTTGGGCAGGATCTCTGGTAAAGCAACGACACCAGGCCCTTTCTTCATCATCGCTGTCTGATTATTGTTTCACACAAGAGCCGCTTCTCTTCTGTTGGCTTCTCAGGTGCTCCTTCTTCATTTTACGCCTGCCATCTCCGTAGTCGCGAACTCAGATCTCATCCGGAGTCCCCGTGTTATTGAAAACAGCCTCCCAATTGGGGCTGGATGCTGTTGAGCGCTGATGCGCTGCGTCCAAGGGGCTCTCGAAAGGCGAGAAGCAGGCCTGGCCGTGGCGGATCCTGGCGGATCCTGAATCGCACAGTTTAATGGCACGAAAGGTCTTTAAAGGCGTTGCCTTTGCGTAGGAGTTGAACATCAGGGCATGGCATGGTTGTGACAACCAGCGGGTTGGACGTGCATGGGGCTGCGGTATGTATCACAAGAGAAGAAGTCCTTTCATTCCCAAGTGTTGTCAGGTGCCTGTTTCATGCCACGTAGGCGAATTTACGGCAGGAGCGGACAGGCACATGGCCTGCGAAACGGTCTGATCCCGGCTTCAATATACTTCAATAGTAGTTCGCCTCGATGCAACTATCACCAGTTGGATCAACAGACGGAACCAGGTTTCAGCTCGAGGATATGCTTGAGAAGTGTGAGCCGAGAGATATCCAAAGCAGGGGCAATTGCACCAGCAGACGGGCCAGGTTCAGCTACTGCAGCTCTTCAACGCAACGGCGTGTCGGGTTGGGGAGAAGGCCCTGCGTCGAATGCTTCGGCTTCTTGTAAGCGGTGGGACATGGCCAACATGTTTGCAGGAGCCTGATGCACAACGCCTGGAGATGGCCAAGTGGAAGGCACATTGGATGCAGAGACGGCCATTTCAGTGCCATTTCCATGGACACAGATTTTGCAAGCATCCACTTTCAAGAGTTGACCATGTTGCAACGAGACAGCCGCGTGGAGAAGTCGGCTTGCAAGGCTGATTTTGCGAGGATCGTGAGAATCTCAACTTCGTACCAGTGCTCCCGAGGTCCTGCATCGTCTGCACACCAACGTTTCAAGGCTGTCCGCAGAACTCTTTGCATCCTTCATGAACCAGGAGTGCAGGTGAACTTGGAGATAAAGAAAGCGTGCCGGATACGCAATCGTGGGCAGGTGATGGCTCCCAATTTTCCAATGTACAGTGCAGTAGACTTAACGAAAGCCGTGGGGCACGTCCCGTAATCGTTGGGTCTCAGCGTTCCGGCTTTCCCAGCAGACTTTTTTTATAGCCAACGAAGGTGGAGAACGCCTTGCTATGTTGGCATCCACCCAGCTGTGACCCATCTGGTGGAGCGCTACTCTGAGAAGCCCAGACCGTTCGAACCGCAGCTTTCATGTTTTGTCGCAGTCCACACAACCCTCCAGGTCCGGCTTGTATGGTGAGCTGCTGGCATAGGCACGATGGTTGACCCGACATCAATCAGTGCTGAGCTGTGAAAAAGTGCTTGCTTGATGACGCGATGGACGGCGCTTCTTCCGTATAGCATTCTCACTGAGAGCTGGAAGAATTGAAGGACTCAGGTGTGCATGCAGTGGACTTTCTCGGAATTCAACAAAAGTTGTTGGGGTGCATCACTGGAGCACATATCTTCCATTGTCAGGTGGTTGCTAGAGCTAGAGAACTCAGCGACAGTCTAGAGGTATTCAAGTGTTTTCGTCGACCTTTTCTTGTAGCGCTGTACTTCATTCACCTACATGGATGGCAAGAAGCGAGCGCAGGGCCATTTGCCATTTGCTATCCCTTGTTCAAGCGGGTGGCCACACTGATTCGCTGAGCGCCAGATGGGACCCCGAAGAAGTTGGCTGAAGCAAGCCATAGCGATGATAGCCTGAAGCTCCAGAAGTCTTTTCTGTGGAAGTTGTTAGGATATGCGTTGGGTGAACACCCTGGCCGAGCAGAGCCTACACAAAGAAAGCTCTTGCTGTGCTCCTGCAGATCCTGACAAGTTCGAGACACAGAGCTGACACTGACAACAGGGAAAGATGGGAAGGCGGGACAGCTGGGCAGGGGCCCTCGCCTTTCGACGGTCGTGGCTCAAACCTGCAGAGAGAAAGAAGGACTAGCTTTGTTGGCTAAGCGAGGTTGTCTGCAACATTGGCAGCATCCTTTTTGGCACCAGCCATGGACAATCTCGGCTTGCAATTCGGGCTGATGAATTCCTTGGGCCGCCTCGCGGGAGACAGCCCACTGGTCAGCATCCTGCTGTGTGCCTTGGTCCCCTTCCTGTTGAAGGAGGCCTGTGAAGTTTTTGCAGCCGCGGATCGTACTGGAGGGTTGGTTACCATCTCCAGGTGCACACTTGTCATCACAAGCAGGAGGATAGAAGTACGTAACTTCCGCAATCATGGCAAGTCCAACTTAATTCAACTTACTGTAGCTGCTTTTTGTGCTGATGTGCCCAAGCCAAGTTGTGCAGGTCCCGCGGCTTATCGAAGCCTTCGGGGAGCTTCTGAGAAGGTATCTTGCAGATGGTCAGGAGCACTACACGAGACGCATCGTTTTCACGCAGGGCGACAACATGCACGTCCAGCACTATCATGGTCATCGAGATATTCTTGGCTCTGAAGAAACGTCCACAGAGCGTAACAACATTTTGCAGAAGGCGATCCGATTGTACATCAACAAAGACAAAGATGCGCTTCACATCAAGGAGTAGTTGTGACATGTTGTGACCATTACACATAGATCAGGAACGATGTAGTTTCGTCAGGATGCCGAGATCTACTTGCTGGACAATAGTGCTACCGTGGACAGCGGGCCCACTTTCGACCGTTACGGAAATTTTAGGCAAGAGGTGAAATTCGTCGGTGAAATGGATGCTTCGGTGAAGAAGCTCATGGGCTACGGCCTCGAGCATGTACAGCGAGCAGACTTTGCTGTTGTTGTTGTTGTTGCTGCTGCATGTATACACCTCCTCGTTAGCTTGTTGTACCCCCGTGTCTTAGCAGCTTAGGTGTGACCAAGGGTCCCAGAGAGCGCGACTACTTACTCGTCGATGCCAAGAGGAAGATCGAGTTCATGTACCACACGGCTTGCATTGCTCCTGAGACCCCGGACGAGTCCAAGGGCAAAGGCAAAGGTGCACCGGCAGCCGGGAAGACAACCACCACCTTTTGCCTCCGATCTTCAGGGCCCAATGCTGAGAAGAACGTCGACAGCTTCATCGAAGAGGCTTTGGAGTCATATAAGCATCAGAAAGCGAAGTCCATAGATCGATCCCGCTATTTCTTCATGCCGCAGCTGCAGAAGCAGGATTCAGATGGGATGGGCAAAGGATTCGGCAAGGCATCGCCCCAGCATGGCACCTACAAGAAGTACCTCCTCTCGGATCACAAGACGTTCGACTGTCTTTACTTCCCCGAAAAGGCGCAGGTCCTGTCCATGCTCGACGATTTCCTCAAGATGCAAGGCAAGTTTGCGATCCCGGGTTTTCCCAACAAGCTAGGTTTGCTGCTGCATGGACCTCCGGGCACGGGTAAGACCAGCCTTATCAAGAGCATCGCGCAGTTCACGGGGAGGCACATTGTGGATGTACCGCTGACGAAAGTCAAGACCAACCAGGAGCTGTTTGACAGGATGTTCGACCTAGTTTTTGCTGTTCCCGGCGACGATGAGGCTGTGCGAATGAGGTTCGACAACATCGTCTTCGTAATGGAAGACGTAGATGCTGCCTCAAAGGTCGTGTACCGCAGATCGCCGGCAAAGGAGCACAAGAAGAAGGCCAAGGGCAAAGGGAAGATGCTAGACGGCAAGGACAAGGGCAGCAAAGGCTCAGCATCAGAAGTCTGCAAAGGCCAAGAGATGTTAGACGAGGGTGCGCTGCCCGGGAGCCACGATGGGAAAGGCAAAGGGGCCAGTGCAGGCACATCAGTGAGCAAGGGCGAACAGCTACTTGCCGAGATGGCAAGGCGAGGGCCCCCCCAGCTGAGCCGCGCCCAATCTCACACACTGAGCCTTGTCCGGACGATCACGATTGGGCCAGATGCCGAATGCCGCAAAGAGCCTGCCGCACTGCCGGTCCCATCACACGACGAAATGGACGACGAGGATGAAGAGGATGAGGAGCCTGACGATGAGGAAAGAGCCGAGCGCAGGTCCAGCAATTCAGTGGAGCATCTGGCTGAAGCCATCGGCCGGCTGGGTGTTAGCTCGGGGCAGGATGAACCCAAGAGTTTCTCCAGTCGTTTCAGCCGAGATGCCGACGAGCTGAATCTCTCTGGTGTACTGAACGTCCTGGATGGGGTTGTTGTTTCGCGGCTGCACGTTTTTGGCCCGCCTAAGTCCACACTAACGCTACAAAGCCAACAGTCGCCTCGCGTTGGTAAGACGAGTCTGTGCGAGAGGCGCCATGAGGTAAGGTTCTTCCACACTGCCAACCACGCGATGGAGAATGATGAAGCATCCTTACATACATCGCGAGGCATTACTCAGAGCCATTGATTGAGGGCGATGGACACATAGATAGATACATAGATAGATAGATTACATAAGTATATATTATCCTCAGAAGAAGGAGCACTGCTTGCAAGGGAGTGCCACGTGACTTTCTCAGCCGCCTTCCGGAAAAGGTCGTTGGCTCCAGCCTTCCAGCTTGAGCCATGCCGGGACCCTGGATTTCCGCGGCCACGGACCCCGATGCATGGAATTCGTATGTCATCCAAAGCGGTGACCCATATGCGGGGCTATATGCAAAGACGATAAACAAACTGGACAGGCAGCGACATAAGCGAGTCATGAATCCACAACGACACAAAAAACGACAACACGACGGTGCATCTACTTAGATGCTTATTAAGGTAAGAAAGACGACATCCATGCCAACAGACAAGAGGGAGCACAAAGTGACACGGCGGAATCACCACATCCAAAGGAAAATAAATCCGCACAACGACCGCCAGCACGTGCTTGATGCCCGCTAGCCACAACACCCTGTCTGCAAGGGCGGCCGACGTGAAATCCTACAAACAGCTTGATATGTGTAGAGACACATGGAAACGTATTTGTTAGTTAACCATATCAATTTGCCACCTTTCGATATATATATATATATATATATATTATATATATATATAGTATATATATATTTCTCAGCGGAGCGCACTTCCATTTTTCCCAGAGAAGCTGGAAGGGCTCAGAGTTGGCAGCACTGGTAGTGCACCAAAACAGAGGGCCATGACCCAGGTGAAGGCCTTCACCACCGCACGTTCGGCGGGTGGCGGAGGGGACGAGGTGGTGAGCCAACGACCGTCTCCGGAAGGCGGCTGCGAAAGTCACGTGGCACTCCCACTTGCAACCTGCGCTCGTTCTACTGAGGATATTCCCAGCAGAGCGCACTTCCATTTTTCCAAAAGAAGCTGTGCACCAAAACAGAGGGCCGTGACCCAAAGAAAACTATAGTACAGCCCTCCGTTCTCACCCGTGGGTGTCTCTCCCGTAGGAGGTGAAGGCCTGCACTTTCGGCGGGGTGAGCAAGGAAACCTGCTGCTGCCAACTGGCCAGTCGCCAACTGTCCAAAGACTGTTACCCCCCCGGGCAAGGCCACTCGCGAAAAGACGCCAGCGAAGACTGGAGGGCGGTAACGTGGGTGGGCAAAAGCAACTGCACCAAAGTAGCCTTGCGTCGTCAACATAGACGCGGGCCGTGGCTTGGTCACGCCACCGGCCTTGGATCACTAGGCCATGTCGTTGATAGAAATAGGCGGCGCCCCCTCGGCGAAGACAATAAGGTAGGGAGTCTTCCGAAGAGAGCCCAATGGCTCGGACCAGCGCAATGAATTCGCGGCGAAAGACCAAGGGGAGGGTTCGTAAATCCTTCCACTCGGGCTTTCCCGGTCCCAAACGAACTGAAGAACTTGAACTAGAAGAGGCTCGTGCAGAGAGAGGGATTGCTGCAGGCCTTTCGAAGTCTACGAATTAATGATGGCAATGACAACCATCCCTTGGTCCGGAAAAAGACGCACATGAGAGAAGCGAAGTGAAAGAAGCTCCATTGACCTCAAACAGAAAGTCAAAGTGCACAAGACGGCGCAGGTGCACGACGGCAGCTATCTTTTTCCTCAAAAGGGCGCCCTCATTAAAGCCGTACGGCCGCGGAAGCACATCTGTGCACAGCTTCCAACAAACTGCCAAACCGCATGCTCACATGGTTCCGTGCAGGCACACGGCTAAGGTGGTAGTTTCTCACCCGTCCTCGGCTTTCTTGAGGGCTTCTTTTCGAGCTTTCCTGCCGGCCCTTATCTGCTCTTTGTTGCGCTGAGCCTCAGTACGCCATTTCTTGCTTTACACCGAAGACGAAATGACACCTTCTGCTGTCAAGCAAGCCCATACACGGTTCAGTATCTTTGAAGGGCCACTGTGCAGCTGCCTGCGTCTAGTACAAATTTTCTGCGATTATCGACATGCAAAGTTTCGTGATTAATTTCGAACTCTTTTCGAGAAGCGCTGCAACAGCTCTACATCTTCCGTCAGCTGCAGTACAAAATCTTATGAAAGCTCTGCACTGTTCAATGTCGTACGACCGGTCAACTTGCGTCAACAACAACTGACAACTAACTAGCACGAAATACTAGAGCTGTCGTTTCCGTGATTCGCTCCTTGCCTGTTGACTAGTAAGCAGGGTGCAGGCTTCGGAAAGCTCAGGACTCTCCTGGCCGCATCTTGATCATGACCACGAACCACCCAGAGAAACTCGATCCTGCCCTTATTCGGCCCGGCCGCATCAACTTTGCCATTGAGCTGGGTTTCATGAAGGGCGCGTGCTTGTGCCAGCTCGTGTCACGCCTCATGGGGCAGGAGCTCACCGAGGCTCAGGCCCAGGAAGCGTGTGAGCTCGCCGGCAAAAGCAAGGTCACGCCAGCCAAGGTGGAGCAGAGCTGTGCCGAGGCCAACTGCGTGCAGGACCTCCTGGCAGGCTTAAAAAAAATCGCGGACCTGGAGCGGTGAACGCAAGTGGCCGAGGCAATCCCGCTAGCGAAGCCAAGCACAGCGTGGCCACGATACAGAGTGCGACGACTAGCAGTGATTTGGCTGGCGCATTCAGCTTCAGGCTGTCTCGGTTTGTTTAATGTCAACAACAGCTGCAAAACGCAGTTGCGTTAGGGAGGCTTGGATGTAGAGCTTTCATACCACACCGTGCCAGACGCACACACCACGGGCATGAACCGCAGGCCATGGTGATGCAATTAGACACTGGTTTTTGATCTGCGGAGGACCCAAACAAAGCGCGGGTAGCGAATGCATTGGTTAAATCGCGTCACCGATTTAGACAAGCTTTATATCTCCAGGATGTAGTTTCCATGCGGACCGTGGGGTCCTTTTGGAGGGTTCCCTGCACCGTAGCTGTCGTAGCTTCCTTGTGAAGCAACACCAGCCGGGATTCTTTTCTAGTTTCCTGGAGTCACTGCGCTGAGCGTAAGACTACAAGCTTTTGATCATTGCCTACGGGTCACCATCCGGCACTCATCGGCTCTTGCTACTGGTCAGTACTTGTTCAGGCTTGTGTACCACGCGATCCCAATTGCCACCAACATAAGTAGACATGTATTTCGATATTCCTGCAAGATTGAGATTTTTCTAGCCCCTTAATAAACACAAAGCGAAGTTGCAAGGGCTACTCTGATGCGGCGTGTGGCCGTGGAGCTCTTGTAGTGCAGGATAGTGCAGGTGAAATTGAACGTGCAATCATGGCATTTCCATGCGCTTGGATGCCCTACCCGCGCCGTGGTTTTGGAACTGCTCAAAAGAAGACCGAATCGCCATGTCTCATTTTGCTGGAAGTTTTCTGCTGCAGCTAGCGCTGAAGGCTTCTTGGAAGCGTAGCTTGCACTTGCACTGTTAGGATGTTGGTCGTTTTGTAAACTTTGCAGTGAAGGCATCGACGTACTTGCCATGCCTTCAGCGCACACTTTGGATGAATACCTACTTTGGCTGGAGGCTACTGGGGCTATTGCGTTCGCTAGGGACCCTTAAAAAATCAGACCGCCCCTCCGTTTCTCGTTTTGAATCTCAGGGCATAAGGCTACAGTGCTTAGCACTTCAGGTTTAACTAAAGCTTGCAGCTAAAGGCAGAGGGTTCCAGGGTTTGGGGCTAGGTCAGGGCTGAAATCTAAAGGCTTAGGGCTTTAGGGTGTAGGGCTTTGGGTTTCGTTTCAGGGATTGAAGCCATAGCTAAGAGGCCATACCAGGATGCACACACCGCCCCCCACATTAAAACTCGGCCCTCGATTTCGGGTTTCTATATCAGGGAGGGGGCAAAGGAGGGCCCGCTCATTTTATATTAGGGGGAAGGCATTATACTGGCACCAGTCGGTCGTGCCTGTTGCGTTTCTACACCTGCAAGGGGGTCAATTATGTGCATACCCCCTACCCGTCCTGCGTCTTGCAGCACAAGAAATGGGCAGCAGGCAGCTGATAGGGAGCGCATTGCCCACATGGAGGAAAACGAAGTCTGAGGTGAACTTGCCATGCGCTTGAACTTGATTTCCCGCTCTCAGGCATCCACATCCAGGACGATGACAGCACTCAGATCCGGAAATGGATTGGGAAGGCAATCACATGTAGTACTTGAAGAGTTGATAAAGTTTTTTAATGCACGTTTGTGTCCCCTGTCGGCTAATCGTGAGCTCAAGCTGACAGCTGGCAAGAATCATGAGACTTGAAGGCTTAGCTTCGAAGGTGTAGTTGAAGTGTTGAAGGCTATGCGTAGCAGATGAAAGCCGCTTAAGAGCCAATGCGGACCTATCCAGGTTCATTGTTGCCAAGACTCCAACCCGAAGCAGCTGTATGCCAAGGCCGGCAGTGGACTGCAGATGCAGAGGTCGGGCAGGCTCTTTGGGGTGCGAAGTTTGTTGAAACAGCAGCGCGGCACAACGGATCATTGCCTCTATTTGCCGCTGAGGGCCTCAACAGTCGCAGTTTAGATTTTATGATATTTTCTGAATGCAGCCCAGCATGACGTCCTTTATGGCGATGTGGTGGGTGCTACTCGCTTTCGTCAATCAGGCTGCGGCTAGCACATGCACAGCCTCCGAAATTCCAACTTTGCTGGCCAGTCATGCCACCAGCGCAAGTTGTTGGACCGTGATCGTGGTGAACCGCCAAAGAGTACCTTGGAGCCAAAGTGGAATTTGTGTTTGCTTGCCTTCTTTGTTTGGATTGAAGTGGAGGCTCTAGACAAGGGAGCTTCGTGCTGTGCACGAAGACTCGGGACCTGGCAGGTAGTCTACGACGTGACGAGGCTGCTTTCCAATCACGAGGGCGGCCGCAAGGTCATAGAGCAGATGTGTGGCCTTGATGGATCCATCGGATTCTGGTGCGTCCACAGCTTGGAAGACCTTCAGGAGTCCATTGCTGACGGGGATGCCACCGAGATTTGCAGGAGTGCTGCCTCAATCCCCCCTGCTCGACGCTTGGATGAGGACGATGATGAGGATGAGGACGAGGACGAGGACGATGATGAAGGTATGCGCGACACTTGTGCAGCAGGTGGCTCCTTGCCTGCCGCTCCCACCGCTGCCATTCAAGCCTCTGAGGTGGCTTTGCACAAATCCTCTGACGATTGCTGGACAAGCATGGATGATGGCAGTCGGAAGGTTGTCATGGACATGTCTTTGTACACTCACTACCACCCTGGCGGAAAAGCGTACGTACTGTCCATGTGCGGCAAGGATTCCACCGCCTCTTATCGAGGCTTCCATCCCTTTTCTTACCTTGGTCAAGGAGTGAGTTATGGATACATCGTTATGAAGGGCACTCTGCAAGGCACGTATCCGGCTCCGCCACCACCCCCTGCCGGGAGCCCGGCACCAGCTCCAGGTGGCAGTCAGTACACGGCCATCACCGCTTCAGTGCTTGCCACGCATGCAAGTGCAAGCGACTGCTGGGGCCGGGTTGGCAGCTGGGTGGTGGACATGACGGCCTTGCGCAGTACCCACGCAGCTGGGAACTCAATGCTCCTGTGTGGCCAGGACGTGACAGACTCTTTTCGGAGCATTCATGCGGATTCCTACATCTCGCGAATGCCGGTCATGGGAACTTATGATTCCACCGTCAATCGGAATCCCGCCAGTTCCGCGCCAACGACGGCAGTTCCGACCACCACGACCGGTCCCACACCAAATGCACCTTCGCCAAGTGGAGGAGAAACGTCCATTCTAAACCCTACCGTCCCCACCGAGGATGTGAACGTGATATCTACCTCGGAGATGTCTTGGCATGCTGTGCTCTCGGACTGTTGGCTGGCAATGCGCTGCAAAGTCTACGACATGACCAGCTACATCCCGTTCCACACGGGTGACCGCTACACGCCGCCAGGCGGTCAAGGGGCGATCGAGAAGCTTTGCGGTGCAGATGCAACGGCCGCCTTCGAGGCCGTCCACCCTATCTCCTACATGGACCTCTCAATCCGAACGGGTGCGGCTCTTTTGGGAGATCTTGCTGGCTGCGGCGCCGCTCCCGCAGCCCCACAGCAGACCACTGCGACCACCACCACAACAACTCCCGCACCAGCAGTGCCGCAGAATGCAACGATGTGGTACAACCTGAGCTTCCCAAACTTGCTGGCCTCCAGCGTGGACCTGACCAGCGCACAGACGGAGGCCTCGCTTGCGATCCAGGCAGAGCCAAGAGATAAAATTGCTGGGTTTTCTGCGTTTTGGTAGGGACGTGTGAGTCGTTTCGGGTCCGTCCGCCCAGGTGCAACATGCGATGGCGGCTCAGGGTCTGGCAAACGTCAAGGTGGTGGTGTCCAACCTGCGGGCAGGATCCATCAAGGCCACCGTGGGGTTTCAGATGGCGACAATCGGCCAGCTGGATGCTGTGAGGCTCTTCGGGACGAAGATGAACACCGTGACTTGGATGGGTGATGCTGCCACCGTGGAAGGCAGCCCTCAGCTGGAAGTGAGCTATGGCGGCCAGGCAGCACAACAGGTTCCTGGCTCGGCCCTGCCGGTCTACACCATCCACCAGGTCCAGGACCACAACACAGAGATGGATTGCTGGATGGCCGTCCATGGCAAGGCACTCTTGTACTGCTGGCTTCTAGACTCCCGGAGCAAGTTCTTAGTAGCTCTTTTGGGTGCATCGAATCGCACAGAATACCAGCCGAGCTGCGGAGCTCGCGCGTGTGTCTAGCCACAGTCGGTCCGATCTTTGCCACTGCATCACCTGTACACGCGTCCAGTAGGCCAAACCGTCAAACGATGAGCAATACTCTCTCAATGAGCATGCCTTCAAAGACAATTGTTGGCCCTCGCCAAGGGGCACAATCGAAAAACACTTGCACCGGTCTCATGTCTTTGCCCGGTGAGGCATGTGCATAGCTGCAAGCAGTCACGGCCGATCGTTGTGCCACTTACCAGTAAGACTGCGAAGGTTCCAATGCTTCAAGCACGGTTGCCGTTGCAGGTGTTCTCCTTCGTTGGCGCTGCCAAGGCACATCCTGTTGGCAGCTTCCGGACCCTCGGCCTTTGCGGCGCGGATGCCTCGGCCACCTTCGATCTCCACCATCCCATGAGCTACCTGGGCAAGGCGCCCCTACGCCGCAAAGGGGGGAGCCCAGATTGGAACCCTTTCCTCGGTTGCCTTGCTGAACTTAATGAAATTTCTGAAAGAAAGCTGGCATCAACACTCGCAATGCATTATCAGATATTGTCAGGCTTCAGCCATCGATGCCGCCAAGACTTACCCACGGCCATCGCCCATCCCATCCGCCCGTTCATGCCTTGTTTTTGCGTTAGGGTTGTTAAAAGGCGGCAAGATGCTCAAGCAACTGTTCCTTTTGTGACCTGTGCAGGTGACACTTACGAACGGCTCCAAAGATTTCTTGCAGAGGCACAACAAAGAAACGGATTGCTGGATGGCTTTGCACGGTGATGTGTATGCATCGTCGAATCTGCTCGCGCAGCACGATGGCGGTCGGGCCAACGTGGCTGCTCTCTGTGGGCTAGATGCTACGGCCTCTTTCGATTGTGTGCACCCCATGAGTGAGATCCAAGAGGCCGTGGATGACTACGGCATCACAAAGGTTGGGACAACAAGCACAGTCCTTGGACAAGGCTGCACCTTCCAACTAGCTGCGGGGATGCTCCCCGACAGGATGATCACCTGGGAGGAGCTAGCCACGCACGCCACGACTCAGGACTGTTGGATCCTCCTTGGCGCAGGCGGCGTCGTTTGGGATGCGACTTGGCTCGCTTTGGAATACCTGACACGAAGGAGCAGGCATGCGCACCTTGTATTTGTACATGCACAGACTGTGTGGCGATTGCAAGTAAGTTCTTGGTACTGGCCGGTATCACGGGTGTTTGTACTGAATCCTGAGAATGCTGACTACCCAAGCCTTTTTGCTCAGGTCACTGCCTATTTGCCCAAGCACACCGGTGGTGCGGCCAGTGTCGGCATCCTTTGCGGCGCTGATGCAACAGGATCTTTTGACAAGAACCACAGGGTCGGCTACATGACCACGCTGGCTCAGAAGGGTGGCTTCCCATTGGGTACTATCACAGGTGAGCAGCCGGCCATTGACTCCGGGACTGTCCAGTTGACTCCGCTGACCATGGCAGATGTTGCCCGGCACAACATCGCATCAGATTGTTGGATCGCTGTGCACGGCTACGTCTTGGATGTGACCAGCTGCTGGGCTGAAAACTTACGTGAATTTAAGAAGTAAGCCGGTAAGCTCCCGAAGCTTCACGCAGAGAAGACGGGAAAGACAAATGTTGCGCAAGTTGCTGCTCAGGCTACTTGGACCGCCACTCCGGGGGTCGGATGAGCATCCAGGCCTCGTGTGGAGCAGACGGGACTGCTTCCTTCGACTCTGTATCGCACCCCAGAGTTATATCACCATGATGGCACAGAAGCGCTTCGCCACCATCAAAGGCTGCATTGGCAGCTGCACCAGCGATGGCGCCACGCCAAGCCAAGGCAACGGCATCGGCACGACAGATTCCATGACAGGGCCTACAGGCCAGGTCCCTGCAAGGCAATGTCGAGCCGACGAGCCGACGCCCCCGGACACCACCGTGACGGATGCCGAGCTGCAGACCCACAACAAGGCCACAGACTGTTGGATGGTACTGGGCTGCGGTGTCTACGACGTCTCTGCTTACAAACACGGTGGGGGAGACGGCTCTGTTCATGCATGGTGTGGGGGGGGATGGCACTACGTCCTTCGTGGGGAAGCATCCTTGGACGTACCTTCCAATTCTCCTGAACAAAGGCGCTGTGTTGGTCGGGAGGTACAGCGGCGCCTCAGTTGCCAGCAGTGTGGGCAGGCAAACGCCGCTGTCGCTTGCCGAGATCGCGAAGCACAACACACCCGCAGACTGTTGGTCCTGCATCCACGGCAAGATCTATGATCTCACCTTCTATTTGCCAGATCATGATGCCGGCAGTGCCGTCATTGAACCCATGTGTGGAGAGGACTCCACAGCGTATTACGCCATGGCCCATGCCAAAGGCGCTCTGTCTGGGCTTCCCATTAAGGGCGCCTGTGACCCACGTGCAGAGCAGGCCTTTACTGAGCAGAACATCCTGGATGGCATGGCCTTTGTTGCCTACGTTCTTTTCCCGTGGGTGATGCATCATGTGTCTCCGGTGATGATGAGCCCTCCCATGCAGGACAGGATCTTCCGCCGACCCATCCTGGCTAAGCCATTGAAGGGTTGCGTGGGCAACATGCTGAACAGCTATTTGGAGATGCCCGTCGGGGTGGCTGCGATGCTTCTTTGGTTCTTGGTGGCGACGGCGCTGCTCTCCACCTTCTGGGCCCTTCACTACGAGCTCTACTACCTGCCAGACTTCACGGGTCCGGGCTGGATTGGCCGCATGACTGTGTATATGATCTCGATCGCCACTTACTTGGGAACCCGGCGATGGTCTTTGGCCTGGACCCTGTATCAGATCTCCTACGAAAAGACACTCAAGGCCCATTATGTTGTGGGCTCCGTGGCCAGCATCTACATGATCTTGCATGGCGTGCTGTACATGGTGGCTTTTGGACCAGACATGCTGCCAGAGCACCAGGTAACTACGGCTTATACTTTGCTGGCGTGTATTCTAATTGTGTTCCCCGCCAGCATCAACAACTTCCGCGTCCGGTGGTACAGCGTCTTCAAGATCACACACTTCTTGGCGCCTCTCATCGTGATAGTAGCGAACCTGCACATCCTTTCTCTCAACGTCGACGGTCTTCTTTGCCGGGGCTTTTGGGGTGCCATGGCCTGGATCGGCTCTGCCGCCTTTTTTTGGATTGGAGATTTCTTGTATAGCCGCTACGATGTGCTCATGGTTCCGACAAGGGTGGTCGGTGCGGCAAGGGTGCTACCAGCAGACGGGGGCCCAGCCCATATTGCCGTGAAGCTCAGGAAGAAGACCACCCTCTTCCCGGGTGCTTGGCTCTCCGTGGCCTCCTTAGAGACTTGTCCTCAATTACGGTTTGTTTTCGTGGCAGACCCAAGCAGAAGCAGAAAGCAACGTCAGCTTTGGAACTTTGTAACCCAGCTTTGGGACTCTGCCTTTTCTGGCGAGCACTGGGCGCCCTGAGCTCTAGATTCTAGATGTCCCCGCCTTGGAGCGCCCAGAGAGCAGCCAATGAAGGCCTGAACACATATCCCAATCTTGTAGGGATGCTCTAAGTGTTTCAACGCGTCGATCATGCCTTATAGACTTATAGAGCTTACGGAAGATCTCCTACCAGAAAGCCCGGCCATGTCCAGGATGCGGGAAGCGCCTTGAGCCATCCCTTCACTGCCATTGTCCGTAAGTGTGGCGGCATCGACAAGGAGTATGCTGAGGTTGAGTTCCTGTGGAAGCTGGGCAGAATTAACGGACTTTTGGTGCAATCGTTTCTGCAGGGTCTAAGCATCTAAGCAACTCCAAGGAAGGTCTGCCCTGGCAAGACCTGGACGCAGGCCCTGTACAACAAGATTGTGAAGCAGAGTCCCAACGCACCACTGACCTTTTACATGTCTGGGCCCTACGGTGGTGGTTTGGGTTCTCTTGAGGCAATGCGGATCATCATCTTCGTGGTTGGTGGCGTAGGGGTGACACCTGCTGCTTCCATGACTCCCCACCTTATACGGCAAGGCAAGGACATCCACGTGATTTGGAGTTGCCGCTCCGCCTCCCTGCTTCAGCACATTGCGGGCGAGTACTTCAACAGCGCCTGTGGAGCCTACTTTGATCGGAACCCCGACAACCGCCGCCTCCACTACAGTGGCAAGGACCAGGCGAGCCTGCCGCCCTACGTCTTGAAGGGACGGCCGGACGTGCCCGCGATCATTGGCGAGGTTGTGCAGAGCGCCTTGAAGCGGGACATTCTGGACATTGGCGTCTTTGTTTGCGGCCCTGGCGCCTTGACAGAGGACTGTGTCCGTGCAGCCAAGAAGCACAGCGACCCCAAGGGAGCCCACGTTCATGTGCATGCTGAATCGTTCCAAATGTGATGAGGGCACTCGCTTGAAGCGACCCTCCGAATTAATGCTCTTGGTGTCTTGGTGACCCACACGTTTCGAGTCGTTTGCCATGTTTCAAGCTTCACAGCGATGGCTTCCGAAGCTGATCAAAGGCCGCAGGCCTGGATCTTTGACGACATTTGTTTTAAAGGTCAGCTTGACTTACTCAGGCTCGCCAGTGCAATGTTGTAAAAACTTGGTCTGAAATTGCTGCAATGATGGTCAGCTTCAGGCTGGTGCATCTGCGCATTGGCATAGAGAGAAACATGAAAAGGTGAGCTGGCGCGGGTGCAGGCTGGTGCATCCTACGCCTGAGTGATGCGATGATGGGCGTCTGGGCAAGACTGGATGCTGGATGCTCCCTCCAAAGTCCCCGAAGCTTTGATAGGATATAGCCTTCGTGCTATGAAACGTTGGTCCCCTCGACATGTTTCACACATCACCATACTGTAGCGCAGGTTTGGGACAAGAAAGGTCACAGAGGCTTGGCATCGAGCGTGTGTGTACGTTGCTCAGCCAAGTTCCGATTCAAGTGGTCAACTAAGCATCGATTTCCTGCCACGACAGCTTGAAACTGCTTGGCATCAGGCCCTGTGCAAGTTGCAAACTGCCAGGAAATGCAAGAGCTGGAACACGCAGCACCAAGACTTGCCGATGTCGTTTCCGAAGACGCTCGGCTTCGATGTGATCCCCGACTCTCCCCACCTTTGTTGGTACAAGTACTGCATGTTTGCCCATCCGCACGTTGAAACAAGCGACCGAGAGCTCGAGTAGGTGTAATCAAAACCTTCTCATGATCTCCGAACGGATTCCGCAGAGCATGTCAGTTTCTGCCAGGGCTGTGCTAATTAATGCGCCAGCTTCTCGCAGGTGCAGGCAGCCGCAGTTTTCGCCAGAGCACTTGGCCTCAAAGCCACCAGTCCGTTGGTTGCCTGATCCCTGCGTGCGCAGTGTTTTGCAGAACAACAATCGCAGCATGCAGAAGGCGTAGGCCTTGCCTAGGCCTTCGCGTTTCAAGCTTAGGCTAGGCTTCATCAAACATTTGCATGCCGCTGACGCGGCAGGTTCGAAATTTGAACAGCAAATGCGTCGAACTCTGAGCCAGCACCAAGACGTGCTACTAGGCAGTCGGTGTATTCCGGCTCAAGGAGTGGAGGTCACAAACTGCATGGTTGCAGTTGACCTGGGTGAAGCATGGTGAAGCTAAGGGCTTGGTGGGCAGACTTGCAACAGGGCAATACCGCCTGTCGATGTCGTTTCTGAAGACGCTCGGCTTCGACATGATCCCCGACTCTCCCCACTTTGGTTGGTACTGCATGTTTGCCCATCCGCATGTTGAAACAAGCCACCGAGAGCCCGACTAGGTGCAATCAAAACCCTCTCATGATCTCTGAACGGTTTCCGCGGAACATGTCAGTTTCTGCAAAGGCTGTGCTGATGCTGTTTAATCCCTTGGCGCAGTGTATTGCGCCAGCTTCTCGCAGGTGCAGGCAGCTGCAATCTTCGCCGGAGCAGTTGGGCTGAAAGGCACCAGTCCTTTGGTTGCCTGATCCCTGCGTGCGCAGTGAAGACACTGCAGAACAACAATCGCAGCATGCAGACCTGAGAAAGCCGCAGCCGACTATGCAAATGTCGCAACAGCAATCTCACGCTGCAAGCACCCAGTGGGAATCCCAACACCTCAAGAACTTCTCCTCAACACAACCACCGATCTACAATGCCGCAGATGTGCAATTTCTGCTTTCACTCAGTGCCTCTGCAGCACCACACCTGAGCAAAGACTGTCTTCCGTGCGCTTAAGAAGGTCGGCACCAGCATGCCGGGGTGCCGAGGTACCCTTGAAATGATCTTTGCACGATCCTGGCTTGCAGGATGTGGTTCCTCGGTGTCTTGATTAAGCCGACATAAGCTTCAAGACCAATTGGCGAAACCGTCTTTTAAGCTCACCTGGACTCAAATATCGCAATCGTCACGATTATGGCTTGAGTATCCTGCCGCGGGCTTTGGTGGGATTCTCCGAGCTGAGGAAGCAGCTTTGATCAACAATCCCATGCCATCCCTCCGTGTCCGGACGTGGATACTTGTTTGGTACTGAGTAGCCGCGTACCTGTCAGTCCAGACGGTGCTCACTCTTTGTGAGGCAGCCCTTCAACCTGCACTGTGCTGCGCCGCAAGCTGTTCGAAGGCAGTCAAGTTTGGCAGCAGTCTCGGTCCAGCAGACAGTCGTCCAATGTAAGCTGCCAGCGCACTGTCAACAGACATGTTCGAGCGCATCACATTGCCCCTGCAGTGCCCGGATGTGGATACTGGCTTGGTGGTGAGCGCTGTGTCTAGCAGTACCTGCGGATGCCCTGTGCCTTTCAATCCAGACCTGATGCACCAGATTCACTAGGTCACTACATGCACTTTTGCTGCTTGCCCTTCATCCTCTCCGACGTGACGGCCTCGCAATGCCTCCCAGCTAGGCACTTGTACATTAATGTCACTGCGGTAAGTCTGCGGGCGCAGACCCGTATAGATGCTTTCCACGAGCTTGAAGAGGGAACTGTTGACGCATCTAAGTAAGTTGGGAAGAATTGTTATTTTTCGGGTGCTGCCAGCCGCTTTCTTCTGGAACTCATGGGAAGGTCGTGGGCAGTACAACCTGTAGGTCAGACAGTGTTGTCAAAAGCCGAGAGCTCTTAGGCTGTGCTGATTCCGCGGAACAGGCCATGGAGGAGCAACGGGATGCGGCGCGTATGGTCGGGGCCCTTACTTACTCTTACGGTACGCCTTTCCATGCTGTTACAGGTGTGTCAGTGGTGTCCTGAGCCCTGGGGTGCGTAGGGTTTAGGGGTTTAGGCTCCCCCAATCCAAGCCCGTGCTCAAAAAGGGGTTTAGGCTTTATTTAGGGTTTTAGGGGTTAAGCCCTAGGGTTTAGGGTTTAGGGCCACGGTTTAGGCCCTGCTGTTGAGGTGTGTTCGCTGGCACACAATCCAAGCCCATGCTGAAAAGGGTCCTAAACCCTAAACCCTTCAACACTCTGACAGCACTTTTGGAAAGCTTTCAGACCACCCCAACCACTCAACCGCATTCAACATGCCATTGAATGAAACCCTGAGAAGCTTCAACTAGTTAAGCAAAAGGAGAAGCAGCCAAAAAGCCTGTCGCAAAGGCTCTCCCCACGGTTGGAGGTGGCGGCTTAGGGAGTAAGCTAACTTTAGACAGATTGCAAATTCAGAAACTGCGAAACTATCACATTCACTGTCGCACATCGGCTGCCCCACAGCATAGGGCGCAGCTTCTCAAACAGTTTGACGGAGGAATTATTGGTTTAGCAGCGATGTTGTTGATGGTTTGTTTCTGCCTGGCTTGTTGGTGAAGTTGGTATGTTGGGGCCTGCCGGGGGGCGGGGTGATCGGGATGTTCGGCGGGTGATCT